ATGATCGTCACCAAAACTAAAAACTGGCAGTACCCAAAAGGCCTGGGGCTCTCAGATTCGTAAACCGAGGGCTTCGAGCTTCGGCCTGCAGAGCAGCCGGAAAGAGGACATTGTCGATTTCCTGCGTGGCGCCCGTGGCTCGCGGACCACTAATAGGAGGGGGGATGACTGGGTGAGTGGGGCACAAAGCGGCTGACCAAAGCAGGGAGACTCCAAACGTGTCAACCACCGGGGGCATCTTGGCTTTGGGGCATGTAGCGAACATGCTTCAACCTCTCTCTCTTCAAACGGCTGTTTTTGTTTCAACATTACCAACCACGCCATGCTGGAACTCCAAAGCCGTCGTTCTTAGAGAACTCTGGGAGAACCTGGAACTTGAAATCCCCTCAAAGTGAAGTAGTCACGACGAAGTTCGTTTAATCACACCAAGGAGACGTTGCATGGCACACCACAAACGCCATGTTCAGGGCAAGTCCGGAGTAAAATTCAGAGCTGATGCAGGGGATGCGGGAGATGCTGGGGATGCTGGAGATGCGTTTGCAGGTTGTCTCTGTCAGTTGATGTCTGATTCCAGTAGTTGTCCTGTTGCAATTGATGCAGGAGATGCTGGAGATGCTGGACATGCTGGAGATGCTGGAGATGCTGGAGATGATGCCAGGGATGCTCGCTCATTCACGCTCACTGATTTGTAAAGCAAACTCGAGAAGCAATTCTATTGGAAAGGAACTCCTGTGTAGAATGTTGTTTGAAAGAACAATTCTGATTAAAAGTCTAAGAGAAAAAAAACTACATCATGATTGTTTTTCCTTTTTACAGATCTATTGAAGTTCAGATAGAATCGATATCTCGGAGGTCCAAAAAACATGTGTGTGTGTGTATATATATATATATGTATATTTATTTACCTGGCCCCAAGCACTACAATGGTCAAAAAACATCGTAAAACGCATCTTCACGAAGATGTCCCTCGGTTTTTCCCGTTTTTTGCGCCCGTTTTCGGCCTCCTCAGGCTGGTAGAAGTAGAGCACCTCGCGAACGCCGGAGCGTTTCTTGGGCCACAGAACAGGAGCCACGGGTCCTCACCCAGCTACCTACCCTGCCTCTCATTGCGGTCTTGGCTTTGCACACACCAATTGAAGTGAGGACCCTCTTGGCGTCAAACGGAGGGCCCCCAAGATTGGGGGGGCGTGTTTCGGTTGGCTTCCAATTCAATTACCAAAAGAAGGCTACCCTCAACAACACACACACACAAATATTTTCTTGCTTTGTCCCCCCCTCCACCGGGCCCCTCAAAACCCACTCCGCCTCCGGCGGCTGCGACGGCAGCCGCGCCAAGAGCAGCGTGCCCAGCAGGGCGTCCCCGAAGCCGTCCATCCGCCGCGTCCATGTGGGGGCGAAGGGAGCGGGTCAAGGGCGCCAGGGATTGGGCTCAGATTTGGTGGAGGTCCGGTCGCAGATTCACACGATGGGGTTTGGGAATTTGCGTTGAACCGGGGCAAGCCTTGACCAGTTGCCATCGCCCTCGAAAAAAGGGAACAGGCCATCGAGGTGAGGTCCCCTGGCACATGAGGAGGTGCGGTTTGGTCTTCCTGGCCGTTGTCACGAGCTGCGAAAGATGACAGCGCTGCGGTTCCTGCAAAAGGTGGACCTTGCTTTTGTGCCAAGCAGGGGCCCCAACTCAAGTGACCGGAGGTTGGATTTCCAAGCTGCGGCATGCCAAGAAATTGCTCCAGCTCATGGACTCATTCTGGGCCGCATGTTGCCAAAGGAAAGCCTTGGGCTTGAATAGCTCATGTCCGGCTGAAAACCTCGAGCAAAAGAGGGGCAGGGCGCGCGGAGCAAGCGTTTCCAAATCCTGCCGCCCCATAGACCAAACACATCCTCATGAACTCATCGTCAACCGGACCTTCCGTTTCCAGGTTCTCCTGATGTCCGGACTTTCAATGGACATGGATGAGCTCGCAAACATCTCACCCTGAGAAATCCTCCAGCTAGATTGCCGAATTTTGTTCTCAGACACTAAAAACTGGTCACTGTGGCCGAAGTTCCACATCCACAACCAAACCGCCATGCCGCATTGCCGGTGAAAGCAGAGGGAAGTTGTCCGAACCCCCAGCGAGGCTTCTCGTTGCTCGGCAAAAGAAAACCCGAAGGGGCCCGAAGGGCTGTATGCTGTTCAACCGCAGCTTTCAATCCTAGTCGTTTAGTCTCAATTGAAAAGCCGCTTCAAGAGGAAGTCATCCTGCTTTGAATCATCCGGGAAGGATCTTGCGGATGGCGAAAAAGAAGAAAACATGAACCGTCCAGTCTCAGGTAGAAACCAAAACCAAAGGCCTTTGCCAACAGAGTCTACCCCCAAAACCCACAATCACAGGAGCCTCAAGCTTGAAGCTCTCAAACTTACGCTGGTTTCTTTTGTCTCGACCACCTCCAATTGCATGATGCTATGCTAAGGATTGGACGTGGGAGAGACATCTTAGCCGATAGGGAAGCCAAACCCGGCTCTGGAAGATTCGTTGACCTATCTGCTTGTCCCGTGCCCTTTTGCTGTCATTCGAAGATTCGAAGCCCCAAGGCCCCGCGAAAATCGAAAGGGAAAAATCCTACGCCCACGTGGCTTTCGACACTTCTTTTTGGTTTGAAGATGGACATCAAACTGGGCTTCACCAGATGCTGGTACCCCTGAGAAACCAAAAGCAGGCTGTTTGAACAGCGAATCTCGAAACCTGACGTCCCAATCCCAAGATCTCGAGATCCTCTCGTCGCAGTCCCAGCGCTCGCACTCGGCTCCGTGGTAGACCTCGTCGGGCACGTCCTGCAGAAATTTGAGTCATGGGCATGACGCAAATTTCGGTCATGGGCGAGTCATGGGCATGTGACATCCCCAAACTCATATGAGAGAGTCCTACTCTGGTGGAGACGTGGCAAGAAGTTGACCTGACATGGCAGATTCTCTGACCAACCATCAGGTGCTGTTTGAAATGACAAGACCGCTCCCACATGTTGACTCGAATGCCCGAGGTAGGCAAAGGGTCAAGGTCCAACTCGGATGGTTGACCCGCAACCAACTGTCGATCACGCATTTGAGAGATCATGTCTGGCTGGATGATGGATCAGTTCGCTCCGCCCCGAACAAAACCATCCATCCACGAGTTGTTGCTGTTGCTTGCTTGTTCTTCTTTTCTAGAGGGGGACAATCTCAAACAAAAACGAGAGAACGCAAAAACAACAAAATCGCAGTTCCAGTGTGAGGCAAGAACTTGAGTCGCCCTTCCACAGGGTTACAGGTTGAGCTTGCAGCCCCAGATAAGAAAATCAGGATTCCTCATGAGACCCAGTCATTCCTTCCCCCAAAAGCCAGCGCCAGGGCATTGACCACGCCCAAATTTCGCTCCTGGAACGCCGGCACGGAGGACGGAGCCACCGCGCAGTCCGGCGCAGCCGACGGCGAAGGCGCGGAGGCCTTGGTCTGGGGCGGCGCGAGCTCCTGGCCAAGCGAGCCATCGAAACCCACTTGGTCATCAAAAAGCGGTCTTTTGCATAGGGTCGTTTTTTTGGCCAGGCTTGGGGTTTTTCGGGTTTCGGGTTGGTTGTTCTATGGTTGTCAAGGGCCCCAGTGGAACCCCCGATTCCCCAGTGTAATGTCTGCCGAAGTTGTGGTGGCACAGGTCATTGGGGATGAGTGCCTCGCAACGTCAGGCGCGTGCTGTTCATGAGGCTGCAGTTGCTTAGGGCTCCACATATGCCCCAAGCACCGTGTCATACCCAAGAGGTGCCAAATAGTCCCTCTTGGGTTGCTTGTGGGGACCATTTCCAAGGGGGTCCCCTCTTTGGGGGGCCCTTGACAACCATAGAGTCTACTACAACCATGTAAAGAACGAGAAAGGCGGCCGCACCGAATTCTGGCTGGGATTGTCCCTGACATCTACCCGGGTGGTGAATGTGGCTCAAGTCGGAGGAATGGTGCGTTGGGGAAAAATAGCGCTACCCTTATCAGGGTTCTTTCGTGTTTATGTACCCGACTTAAGCATCATCCCCACCAAAGTGTGGAAAAGGTAACCCCGCCCCACCCGTTGTCTCCATTCTTCCCCCCAACCCGCAAAGACATGGATGGCAAGGGTGCTTGAGGAAACGCCCCTTCCATTCACGGGGACAACCACCGAGGTTGGGCGGCTTTCCTTTGATGTCCACAAGAAACCATAAAATGGGCACCTGCCGGAAAAAAAAATCGCCCGATCAGTCATCCCTAGAGACTGCCAGTGCTCGCAAGTTCCTTGGAGATCGACCCAATTGGACGGCGATCCGGCCGGCAACTTCAGGATTTGAATCTCCTCTTGAACCCAAACGTCATGCCGATCTTGATCAGACATGTACGATCCGAATCAATGGGAGGGAGTTGCCCCGTTACCGCCTGGACTCCCTCGTTCAAACCCAGGTTCGACCGCAATCCCAACGTCGCTCGGCATTTTGTCAAGTTTGACATACCAACCTCGGACTTTGGGCATCTCTCAAGGGAGCTTTCAGGGGGATGAAACCTCCATCCCAGTGGCCCCAAAGCTACGTCCGGAAAAATGGCCATGGGTCAAAATCCAAATCGTACCCCCAATGAACATCTAAAACGGGTGGTGAATTCACCCAATCCCAACCAAAATGGGATCATCCGTTCAACGGTTTTGACCACCACCGCCACATGGACCTCCGGCCCTCCGTCCTTCCAGGAAGGCGGCTTCACCGGCTCCGCGGGCCGGATCGAGCCCTCCTCCCTGACGCGGGAATCTCCGCGGGAATGACTTTGGTGCCCCGCTCGTGTTCGCAAATGTTTGTTGGCTCCTGTGGATAGATGGCGTTGCCGTTGTTTTGTTGTTTGGTGCTATTGCTTGGCTGTGCTTTTTTTCCCCTGTTGGTTGTTCTTGCTCTGCAATCCTAGTACTGTTTCCGATCGATAGTATGATCATGATAACTCAGATATCAACAGGGGATTCCACTCTAAGGATTCGCAACCCTGGCCTGAGGAAGTTGGACCCGAGAGCTTCCTCAACTTGAATATGGGCATGGAACTTCAATGTGTCCTGGACCCTTCAGTGGACGTCATGCAATTTAAGTGGGGATTCATGTGACCGGACCCAATCCTCGCAACCAACCAAAGATGGATGCCCGTTGTTTTTTTTTCGCGTGGCCGCTGGGCATCTGAGATCTCGCTTATGCTTCCCTGTTGGTCACTAGTTGGGGCTTGTGAGAAAACACCAACCGAAAGAGTTGCATTCTCAAAAACTAAGAGTCTCTTCCTTCCCTCCTCACACCCAAAACCTGTCCCCCCCTCGCACCCTCCCCGCAAACTTTCCGGCGCCCTGCCTTGGAGAAGGCGCTTTCAGCAGCTGCGGCATCTTCTTCGGCCGCGGCATCTGCTTCACCTCCGGCCTCGGCGAAAGGCCTCGCCTTTTGGGGGTGCCCGATTCTGGCTGGAGCTTGGAGCCCCCACAAAATGGTGGTCCGCTCTTGGGTTTGCCTTAAACCAAGCCCCAACAAGGGCAGCCTCGAAAAATGAGGACCTTTTCGGATTGGCTGAAAGGGGAACCAAAAGGCAACCCGCCGGGCCTCCAAGAAGTGTTACCCTTTGCCACGGGCAGCTAGCTTTGGGCTTCTAGTCGCCTCCTCCCACCCCGGTGTCAATTTTTTGAGCTTTGAAGGGAAACCACAAGTTGAAACCCACCCATTGCAAGATTGCAAGGGTACAGGTCCCAGTTTTCTCGATAAACCCGTTTTTCCCGTTTTCCAACCCAGGATGCCCTTTCCGGCGTGTCCGACCAGGGACTTGTTCTCCCCCCGCCCATTTTCTACTGGAAGTCGGGCCCCATTTGTTTGGTACATTCATACCCATGGTGATTTGTCTTGTAAAACCCTGGCCCAGAGCCAGATTTCAACTCACCACAAATGGCGGCTTGGCTCCGGGTTCGCGGGAGGTTCCGGCAACACCGGAGGCCGCCGAGGCGGGTGGATCATCTGCCAATGGCAGCCGCGGCTGCGTGGAGTGCATGGGAGAGCATTGCCGACATAGAGCCGCCTTCCTTGTGCGCCTCGTCCAGGATTTCGGATCTCCGAAGACTCTGTGAGTTCGGCAAGTTGGCTCTCCGCTGCCATATGGCCATGGGTCAAAATCCCGCCCCCCAAGTGAACATCCCAATCCCCACTAAAATAGACTAGAATGGGTGGTGCACCTGCCCCAAAATGGTACCATTGGTTTTGACCCAAGGCCATATTTGTCTCCTCTTGCGTCGTGCCACCTATCTGCCGCCCCACCGTCAGGTTGCACGATGGATTCTGGGGATACTCCCTACATGTTGGTCCCTATGGGAAAGTAGGGTTGCTTTTAGGGATGTGCGGCGAGTTCAGTGATTTCCCCATGCTTCTGCCAGATTGACCAGGACGCCTGTGGATGGAAGACAAACCTTGTTTTCTTGGCATGAGAAAGGGTCCAAATTCACCGGGTGGGGCAAAACGCGCCATCCAGGTCAGAAAAGAACCGCAAAGCGGCGGTCCAATCACGAGAGCCAACCAAAGAAACAAAGCAAGTCACTCTGCAAAACTGTGAACACCCATGCCAGAAACAATACAGAAAAAGCTAGCAAGGAAGGAAGACAAGAGGAAAGAAGACGGAGCAAGAAGTCAAAAAAGGACATAAGGAGCCCAACAAGCAATACGAACTCAACGCAAAGAATACATGGTGTCTTCTGTGGGGGGTTACCCTTGTTTGCTGGTTTAAAAAGAAAAAAAGCAAGGAACACCACCGTTTTGGGGACAGGGGGTCGCCCAAAGAAAGACACGCCCATCATTTCCCAAGTAGTATTTGTTGTTGTTTTTTCCGAAACCGCAAACCCGGAGCAGGCGGGTGCTTTGTTCCTGGGAGCCGAACTTGACTCTCTGCGCCTGGCGAATGGAGCGTCGAATGTCCTGCAAACCTACCAGGGAAGGTATTGGGTGGTTCCTTCTTTCTTGGAATCGGAGCTCCTAAAATCACCAAAAAGGGAGGTACCCTCAAAAAGACTCACCCATATGAGGACTTTGTACCCTGTTTCTTGGCAGTCAGCACCCTTTTCAGGTTAGGTCAACGGGAGCCAACCAGAGAACCACAAGCTCTGGGGTCATTCTGACACATGCCCACCTTGGGAATGCTCGTCCCTCACGAATTCAACTTGGTTAGGACGGAAACCACCAAAAGATCGACCTAGTTGAGGAATGCCCTATTTGGGGAACGCCCAAATTCAACCCACCACCGGAAAGACGGATCCAACTTTGTATAGCAGCCAGCTTGTTCCGATCGTTGGATGCTGCGTTCATGATTGGGCTTCCCCCGAAGAGAACCATCTTCGGATTGATCTTGAGCTCTGAAATTGTCCAAGGCAAAAGGGGAGAAGTCTCCCCTACCACCCACCCCACATGTTCTCCCTGAAGGGGAGCCTGTGGGTCGGATGTTGTGAAGGCTCCTTCTCTCACGGCCCCAAACAATTTGCAAAAAAAAGAAACGCGGCGCCAACTCGCAAAATGGGAAAGTCTCCTGAATGGCCCTCGAACTACAACTTTCTTGGCTCTGCAGCAGTGAAGGGGAAGCTGGAGAAGAGCCCTGGCTCATAGGGACTTCAGGATCGCCCTTTTGGAGGTTATTTGTGCAAACCGGGGACCGAAAGAAGACGTGGCCCATTTCAACCCACAAGAAATGCCAAAAAGAAAAGGGGAAGCACAAACAAAACCCATGTTGAAAACACACACATACACACTCCCCCTTCCCCCCCCCCCCCCCGCACACCCGCAATTCACCCTCATCTCCCCACCGGCAGCAGGCAGGATGATCTCGCTTTTTTTCCCGCTTCCGAAGCGGGGTGGAATCATCCCGAAAAGCCTTCAGTTGAAGGGGTGCGGGAAAGCTGCCACGCTGCTTGAATTCTGCGGCCCGCTACAGCAGCCAAAGCATGCATGGCAAAGGAGAGCTTCTGACGAGTCCGGGGCCGGCTACTTGGGCAGCAACTTCGCCAGGTCGATCTTCTCCACGACTTCGCTCATCGACTCGCCATCGACCTTCAAGACTTCGCCGGGCCCTCCGAACTTGAGCCCGTGGCCAGGCCCGCGGACGCCCACATGGCTCAGATCCGTGAAGTGGGTCGTCACAAGAGCGTCCTCCCCACTCTTCCAAGTCGGAACGTGGAAGAGGCCCCAAGTGAAGAGACCGTCATCACCTGAATCATGGCCTTCAAGTGCAATGATCCAATCCCCTTGTCGAGCAGTCGTGCGAGGTGTTCCGCGCCATTTGGCCGCAAACCACTTCTCAATCTCCGCAACCTTCTCCTCCGACATGGGCTCTTTGGGGGCTTTGACGCAGTCTGAACCCATGCCTCAGCCTTGAGCCAGGAAGATAGCTCCAGTCCCCAGGCCATAAATTCCCCCTCCCCTCGCGCCTTCCCGTCTCCTTCCCCGCCAGCCACCCGGGACCCCACCCCCTTTCCGCCTGCTCCACGGTCTGCACTGCCAGGTCCAGGTCCGGGTGCTGCTCGCGCATCGCGGCGAGGAGATCGCCGCCCTCGCCGTTTGAGGCCAGCTGGGGCTTGAAACGGCGGTTGCGTCAGAAGTCTTGGTGGAAATCTGGGGGTGTCTGTTCTTGAGGCTCTCTCTTTCTTGAGGGGCCCAAATCCAAAACGGACTTTGGGTGTCTTTTCTTGAGGCTGCCATGGGCTTTAAGGGAAACTGACAGGAAAAAACACCATTTTGGGGGGTCTAACCTTACAAAAGACACGCCCATTTGGACCCCTTGGTCTCCCTTGGGGCTTTCTTGGGGCTCCCTTGGTGTGGTGCATCTTCCAACGTCGGTGTTCCCTAGGTGCACGCAGAGAATTTTGAATCCGTTTGCCTCTTCCAACAGGATTCACTGAGTGAGTCGATACGCGTTTGCCTTTTCTAGGGACCCAAAAATGGTGGTATTCCTTTTGGTTCTTCTTTCAAACCGCAAAAAAAGAAAAAGTAAAAGCACGCTGGAAAAGACACACCCCACATGTCGGAACTTGGATTTTGAATACTCGACTGTCCAAGTTCCAACCAGATATCTAGAAAAGAAAAGCCACTCGTTGGGGTTCAGACTACATGTTCATAAGCCAGGTGCCACAGGCAGAACTGAACAAATCCGCCCGAGGTTCTGGGGGAAAAAGTGGGTCTCTCCCTGCCTCCTCGGAATCGTAAATCTTCACTCTCTGGCTGTTCGGCCCGAGCCTCGGGTTGATGCAAAGAAGCCAAATCCGAGCACACAGCCGGATTCGATCGGCTGCATGATGATTTCTTGGGGAAGATGTTGCGCCGTCTACATGAGCAAGGGACGTTTTTTGCTCGAGTGTTCCCACCCTTCTCCAATCTGCACACGCTTGGACTCGTTGACAACTCGTTTTCCAACGGTCAAGCACCCGTATCTGATGGCCCTACCTACTTCGGTATGTTACCCAAAAAATGTGTCCGCCCGGATCCTTTACGGTAGTCTTCTGAAGGCGGTCGCTCAAATGCACCCACGCAACTCCATGATTAGCAGAGGAATGAGGGGCTTAACCAAAGAACCTCCTCGTTGAAGCATCACCCAGGATTCTTGGCGAGTTCCGAGAAAGGTTGCCATAGTGTTTATCTCACGAATGCGCTGGACCCCCACACGTCAAGCCTACAAAGGTCCATCGTTGATCTTGGCCCCAGCTACGGCAAAAAAAGACCAGCAAATGTCTGGACGCTTGAATGGTGGTATCCTCTTTACCTCGGTGCTAGGAAATCCATGAAAAGTCCAGATCCCTATCAGATAGAGCTGTCAAATGTGCTGGCTCAACCCCCTGGCCATGTAAAAAGCCAAGCCTGTGTTTTGGCACCGACATAACCAAAACCCGGTATCAAAGCAATCTACTCCAACCCCATGGCAAGAATTTTCAAAGGCTCAAGATCTAGCGAATTACTGGAACGTCCGGTTGGATCAGAAGAGATACTAATTATTACCCACCGCCAAAATATGCATCACCCGAAAGCAGGTGATAGGTTCGTTGGCGCAAAGAACAAAAGCAAAAAAACGACGACGAACAAATAAACAAACAAGCAAGCAAACAAACAAACCAACAAACAAAGCGAGCCAGCGAGCTTTGACAAACAGACAGACAGGCACACAAACAAACATACAAACAAAAGAAGCAAACAATACATCAGAAAGGGAACAACAACATAATATGTTTAGCTTGCTAGTTAACTAGCTGGCAAACTAGCTTCCTAGCTGACTTGCTAACTAGCTAGTGGCAAGTTGAGGCGTCTAATGAAAAGCTTGCCTCTTAGCCACTTGGTTTCGTCAGTTTGCTTGCGGGTCCTTTCATTGAGAATTGTCAGAAGAGTCCAATGCGACAACACTTGTCGTCGAACCGCGACAGCCTTTGGCCAGCGATGGACCCCAATTTTCAGCCAAACAGCCACTACATTTTGGTGCAGGGTCAAAGTCGCAAGCGGTTTCGTGTGCCGGGCTAGCTAGCTGGCTGGCTACCTGACTGACTGACTGGCTGACTGACTGACTGACTGACTGACTGACTGACTGACTGGCTAACCAGCTAACTAACTAACTCACTCACTCACTCACTCACTCACTCACTCACTAACTTAATATATATATATATATAATATATATATACACATCTGTAGCTTGCTTCACTTGCTCTCTCAATCTAAATGCGCGAGCCCGCATTGGGCTCCCACCACACAGCGCTGGCGAAGTAGCCTGTGCTGCAAAAGCGCCGCAGAAGGGAAGGGAAAGAAGCTGCGATCAGCGGAGTCTTATCGAAAAAGGATGGGCGCCCGATTGATTTTGAGCCCCAAAAGAAGACCCTGCAACAAGAAAAAAACACGTGCCGAGCGTACCTGAGCCAAGAAACCCTCGACCAAGAATTACGATGCTTGATTCTGGCTCATATTGCCTGCACCTTCAGAGCAAATCCCAATAGATGGGTTGGTCTCGTAGTGGGACCGCCAAATGCCTGCCTCGAAGGTTTGATTTCGCTTTAAACCACCCACAGTCTGGTTCCTCCCTCCCCACTTGTACAATGGATGATGCTTCAGCAGCCTGCAGGGATACATTGGAAAGTGCCCTGCAAATTGCCCGGCAACAAAGGAACAAAATGAAATGCGAGGGCAGATGTGGCCCTGGTTCCAAAACTAGGGACCCCTTTGGGTGGGATGATGGCACCCAAACAAGTTGCACTGTGGCCAAGACGGCCATGTTTTTGGCACGGACCGTCACGCAACAATTTGGGTGTGGCTCCAAATTAGGCAGCTGGGTTACGCAAGATTGACTCCAAAACGTTTGGACCCATTTTTGAGCCACACCCATTGATCCCCTCCAAATGGTCCCCCAAATGGTTGCCATCAGAAAACGGGGGCTCCAACCCGTTCCGAAACAACCCCGTGCGGCTTTATAGTTTGCAAGGGAAACCAAATGGGTCTGTCGTCTTTGAGTTGGAACCCCTTTGTTGGTTGGCAAAGGGAAACTACCATGTACCAGGAAAGCCGTCGCGCCATGTTCGGAGTCCCTGAAAGGACACACCCAAACCAAGCTTCAGATGCGTCCGATCTAAGGAGGTTTTGGCTTTCATTTCAAGCCAGGGCAAAACTCATGGAGAGCTGGAATGGGCTGTCGAAAAAACAAAGGCCCCTTTTGGCCCCTGGTGCCGGTACGCGCCGCCTTTTGAAGGGGTTCCCACAAAGTTGGAGATTTTGGAGCTCGGAATGGTCCATGTCTTTTGTTTGCGGGGAGTCCGGCCACCTTGGATGGAACACCCTCCTAGGATGGGTTTAAGAAAATCGGGGGGTAAACATGACCATTCTTCTACAGAAATTGAGAAATCGATCCCCTGGAATCTGGCTCAAAACGAAGCTCGTTCCTTTGCCAGGGCTTGGAAGTGCGTGGATATGCATCATCTTTCCTTTTGAAAATGACCTCCCAATATCTGGTATGCCCCGCAACCCTGAAATATGAAAATTGGCCAACAAAATTCAGCCGGGTGGTCCGGGTCTTGAAACAGCCAAATCAAAAGTTGCGAATTTGCCGGTGGCTTTCATTGACCACCGCCGCTTCTGGTTCCAAAAACCGGAAATGGCCCGTGTCTTGGTTTTGGAAATGGCACGGTCCCAAACCTGGCTTCGGCTTTCCGTTTGGGTTCCCTTTAGAACCACCACAGACAAACGATAGGGGGGTAGCAACTCAAAACGGCGGGCCGCTCAGCCGGACCAACGGCTGCCCTCAACCAGCACAACCTCAACTGTGGGTCGAAATGTTCCAACCAGCACAAATTTTGCAGATTTTGGTACCCATGTGTCTTGACTTCCCAGGATTCCACAACCAACTTCCCAGATTTGGGGTACCATTTTTCTGACCCACAAAACCGACCGCTTTCCGGAGGCCAAGGGGCCAGGGGCCAGCACGCCCTCGCCCTCGCCTGGGGTGAGGATCACACCTGCGAGGGAGGGGGAGGGGGAGGGAGTTAGAGTTGGGCTCTCCCGTCCGCATTTTGCCATCCGGTCCTAGGGTCCCCCCCACACTTTTGGGTACAATTCAAATACGCCCACTAAAACAGCCCATTTTCAACATTCAAATTCAATCACCCAACCAATCCAACTCCAAAAAACACATATTCACAAACCCATCTTCATTTCTTACCCCATCTCAACATCACCCTTACACTCATTCAATAACAACAATCATAACTACATACCACCTCAACAAATCCCACCAAAAAAATCCAAGCTACATACCAACATTTTTTCATTCCCAAGATCGCAACCCCAAAATCTCAATAATTTCTCCCTTGATCCAACTTGAGACCCTTTCCCATTTCCAACAAATACGAACAGTCTAAAAAAGAACCCTATGTTCGCCCCGAAAAGTGGTTAACCAATGGAAAAAGGAATATTCTAAGGGCTAACTCAAATCTTCAAAATAATCTGTGTAACATGGGATGGCAAAATGCGGATTGAACAAGGCTTCAGTAGACACACCGCCCTAGAAACTGCCGAAACTACCATGAAACAGCAAAAAATGCCGTTGGAACTGCAACAGACGCTGTTGGAACTGCAAAATCTGCCGTTGGAACTGCAAAATCCGCCGTTGGAATTGCAAACATATTGCAAATCCGGTTTTTCCAACACCGCCTCTCCCCACCCCACCATTTTTCACCGCATTTCAGTCGCTTGAACGAGTCAAGATCATACCTTCCATGAACTCACATACTGCTCAACGTTGACCTTGCATTTCTCCGAAACACCCCATGTGCCGACAACCTTCTGCCTCGACGCATATCCTTCTGCAATGTCACCTTCAGGAGCGACTACAACCCACTTGATGCTCTTGACTCCATTCAGTTGGAAATAGTTGTTGAACTGCTTGTAAGAAGCATCAATCTTGCAGTCGTGACTTTTTGCCTTCGTGACCTGCAGTAGCCAAAGCGTGATGTTCTTGCCCTCATTGGTAACAAAGAAAAAATCAGCGGCTGGAAATGTCTCAGATTCAGGACAATACAAGCAATTCTCATCAAATTCTGGCAAAGGCTTTGGTGGTGGCTGGTCACCCAACTTCTTGAGCATCTTCTGAAGGGTCGGGATGCAAATTTTGACTGCAGCTGACTCTGTCTTGTCCTTATTCGTCTTCAATGCAGTGCAAACAAGCTCCACCTTCTTGGATTTGCAAACCTCGGCGACATGCATCTGAAATAGCCGACCGCACAGTGTGCCCAAAGGGGTGATATTCAAACTTGCCCTGATAAGGTCAGGAAGAGCTTTCCGTTGCTTCTCTGCCAGTTGGTCACACAAAATGTTGAGAACAACCTCGGACTCAATCAACTTCACATTGGGCGTCTGAAACTTGGCATCCGAATGGATGTGTAGCACCCGACTCATCTTGCTCCTGTTGTTCTGTGCATCCATGTCTGCACCGCCACTGTCAGCAGCCTGACACAAGTCTTCAAACGTGCACTTGACGACGCAGTCGCGAATCATCTGCTTTGCTTCCTCTTCCAGAGTGGTCTTATTCTCGGCTACTGCCACCAGCAACTTGTGCAAGTATCGCACACTCCCTCCAATCATGGAATATGCCTTCTTCACGTCTGCTTCTTCCTTGCAAATTTGCAGTATGCCCCCAGCTTTCCAATGGTTCAGCACCTCCTCTTCTGACCAAATTGGCATGAAATAGCGCTTTGAACGACCTTCAGCCTGTTTCCAAACACTGTCGTAGTTCTTCTGCTGTGGCGAAGTGAAAATAATAGTGCAACCACGCATGCGAGGGTCAACAGGCTGCGAGTTCTCACCGCCAACTGGGTCTGCCAATAGAACAGTTTTGGAGTCGTCAAGGAGTTTGACCGGCCATGTGTCATTGTGCGTGATGGTCTGCCCTGAAATGCGCGACCACCACCTTTTGCCCAGCTGGATGACGATGTTGATGCCCTCTTCGGCCAAGCGACTAGCTACAAAAGCCAGAAAAACGGATTTCCCAATGCCAGGAGTGCCTGTAATGACAAAAACCCCTTTGATTCCGGGCTTGGCGAATTCTTGCTTCAACCAATTCGTGATAAGTTCATACAACTGTGTGTAGCAAGTACGCACCACCAGTTTTTTGCCAACATCTGGCATGCCCAAAACATTGCAACTTGCAAACTCCTGCACAGTATCAGCTTTCCAGTTGCTGGGCTTCGGTGTCTTGGACACAGCCTCATCCAGCCAATGGCAAAGTTCATCTTGATATCCAGGGTCCTGAGCAGTGCAGTGAAAGCAAACCAACAAAACAAGTAACTAGCAATCACCCCAAACACAAGCAAATAAACCACTCAAACAAACATACCTAAGAACCAGAGAGGAACGAAACAACCAAACCTAGAAAAGGGAATGGCGCAACATATTGATTAGGCTGGAGGTCTTGAATCCGATGGTGCAGTCTTACGGCCACGATGCGTTGCACATTCAAATCACCCACTTCGTGTAAATAGAAGGACAATGTCTCTGCTGAAGCTTTGCGCAGGTCATCCTCCGGAAGTTGTTGAATGAGCGAGCCGACACTGCTTTTGGAAGCCTCATCCATGGCGACGTCATTGAGCTGCGCCACAGTCCAGTCATGGTCAAGCTTCCGCTTCTTTGGCGGTGCTGTTTCTACCATTGCGCAAAACTGAGAGCAACGTAAACCTAAACAAACATGACACTTTCAATGACTGATGCTCATCGTGCTTTGGTCGCAAATCGCCCGATCATGCTACCTCAAGCTTGAACCAACCGTTGGCGGAATCAGTTTTGCCACCGCCATTACAACATGTTGTCTCAGCAAATGTTGTTTATGAAATATCGTGACAGAAACCGTGCCATGTCGTCATAGATTCAGTGACGTGCCGTCATAGAAACAGTGACACACTGTCATAGAAACAGTGACGTGTCGTCATAGAAACAGTGACGCCTCGTCATAGAAACGGTGACACGATGTCATACAAACAGTGACACGTTGTCATAGAAACGGTGTCCCAGAAACAGTGCCATATCGTCTCAACCCTTGTCGTTGGTGACTGATTGTCGTAGTCGCTGTTCAAACCCTCAAAATCTCTGACCTCAAATAGGGGCGGTTCATCCCTTCAACAGAATAATAATCTTGACCAAGTTTTTTTTCAACCCTTGAAACCTTGTATTTGACACTGCTCCAGTTGCTCGTTCTTTCTTTCTCGGAAATCCCTTTTTTGCGGTATATTTTGACCTCATCGCCAACCCTAACAGGGGGATATTTACGGGTTTTGATTCTGTTCATCTCAAGCTTCATCTTGACCTCAAGATGGTTTCCCTTTTTGTGGGCATCGTTTGGAGTCATATCGTGGGCAGAATGAACCATTTTACTGTTGTATGTCAGCATGATCTCGGGGATATAATCAACCCATTGTATATTAACCTTTCCCTTTTTCTCGTCTGCATCAACCCTCTTGAAAAGCATGTCCTTGAACGTGCGAATGAAACGCTCGGCGAAATGGGGGTGCCCTCGTGTTTTATAGTTTTGGATCCCTTCGTCCTTGAAAAAATCGACAAGATCTTGGGTATTGAGACTCCCCTCGTCATCCGAATAAATTAATTTGGGTTTCCCTCCCATTTTGTTTAATGCCTCCATGATCCCAGCCGTGATGTCGGCAGGTTGCTTGGATGCAATAGGCACCACCACGGCTTTGCGGGAAAATACATCAATAAGCAATAAGCCTATCCTATATTTTTGATTATCTAAATCATTTTTTGATATAAAAAACAGATCCAATTGATATTCAAAGTTGATATCAGGGGCAATAAACGAATTGTATCCAGACAGTTGTTTTTTTCGTTCCACGTTCTCTTGAAACCACTCCTTGACATCTTGCATTGTTATGGATGCATCTTTCTTTTTTGCATCTTTGTAAGTGGTGGCGATGCTACCAAACCCAGCCTGATCGTAGTAGACCTCACTGATTATCTTGTCTTTTTCACTCATATATATATAATACTATAGAATAAATATCAGCATGTTATTTTATCACTGAAGCATCTATTACAAGAAGCACAGAAGGCAATGACATTATCCTTTGTATGGGGAAGATCATTACATAACCTTTGACAAGTCAGATTAGAATTTATATTACCAGAATCCATTGACAACACGAAACCACAGCCACAAATTGCACACTTTCCATTGACATTGTCCTTCAACCATTCGGCATCCACATAATTGTCTTTTGGGATCTCAAATTTGTTTTTCCTATCCTGTTCCTTGTATGCTAACACCTTTCTATCAAAACAATTCATGATGCATTTTGCGTTAAACTCTTCATTTAAATCACTACTGTATTTGTAAAATTTTACTCTGTTTAAATCCCTTGCCCGAGTGATCCCCGTCCAAAGCCACTCGCGAGTTATCAGATGATGGTTCCAATCAAAAATGGTGACATCGTCATCAATGGAACACCCCTGAACAGAATGACAAGTATAACAGAAGGCAAAGATAAAATGACTTCTCAAGATACCAATATTTAGCGTGATCTCTTCTCGTGTTTTGATATTAGCAATGGTAATCCAAGGATCGGAAATATTAATTATCTCATACCTAAAATTCACATTTAACTTATAGGTTTTTGTCTTCCTATACTCTCTGCATATCATGATCTCGCCGACTTCAAACTCATTTTGTTTGCCCTGTCGTTTCCTGATCTGCCTTGAAACCTCTCTACAAGTGTTATTTAAATATGCGACATTGCTTTCTGTTCCTGTGATGTCATCAGTATATTTAAAATACTTATTGATGACATCATGTAGAGACAACTCATGCTCAAAGATGTCGGCATAAATACTTTTAAGTTTATCCTTGTCCTCCTGAGTCTTCAATCGCTTGCACTCTTCCAAAAACAAATGATGAGGAAAAATGCTGTCAATACATTCATTCATATAAATCTCGTGTTTCTTAGTGTTAGTCAGT